AAAAAAAAATAAATAAAAAAATAAAAAAATAAGAATGTATCTCTACGAAAAACAATTAACAAGGAATTTGTGGACATATTTTAAAAGTACCACAAAGGAGTTCTAATTTTATGTATAATCTGTGATTACATAATATAATTACCCATAGAGAATGATTAGTCTAACAGGATAGTATCAGCAGGCAAAGTGGATTGGAATTTCAAAACCTGAACAGGAAACAAATTGCCTCGGGACTTTTAATAGTAGCAGAATGTGCTGTCTGACCACACATAGTCAAATTGTAAGTCTAGAAAGGATATTAAGAAAATTTTTTTTAATGTTTATTCATTTTTGAGAGACAGAGACAGCGCATGAGCAGGGTAGGAGCAGAGAGAGAGAGCACACGGAATCTGAAGCAGGCTCCTGGCTCTGAGCTATCAGCGCAGAGCCCGACACGCGCTCAGACTCGCAAACCATAAGATCATGACCTGAGCCGAAGTCAGATGCTCAACCAACTGAGCCACCCAGGAGCCCTGGATATTAAAAATTCTTTAGTTAAGGGGGGGAGGGGTCAGACTGGCATCTGAAATAGACAAGGATTGGGATTCCAAGAAGACGAGTTGTATCAAAATGTTGGCTGTGCATGCAGAGAGGATCTATTTCCAAGAACATAAGCTTTTAGGAGAATGGTAAGACTAATAATCATTAGAAATTAGACTTAGACATAAAGATGGTTATAAAAAGATTTTGAACAAGATTTCTCTCCTGAAAGCTATAAGCCTTTGTCATTTCTAGATCTTAATACCAATACACTCATGATGTTAATACCAATAGTAATGGTATTCGTATTGGTAATACCAGTGGCAATGAATGGAAGAATGTTTGAACTGTGTATATGTGCAGTTACCATACTTAGTAGTCTTTGTAGGTTTTGTTTTTTCTTTTTAGTTTATTTATTTTGAGAGGGAGAGGGAGGGGCATAGAGCCGGAGAGAGAGAATACCAGGCAGGCTCCACATAGCTCTGTGCAGAGCCATACTAAGGGAGTGTGAAGCACTGACAATGAGACCATGACCTGGACTGATATCTGGAGTTGGACTATTAAGGGGCGCCTGGGTGGCTTGGTCAGTTGAACATCAGACTTTGGCTCAGGTCACGATCTCCCAGTTCATGAGTTTGGGCCCTTCATTGTGCTCTGTGATGACAGCTCAGAGCCTGGAGCCTGCTTCAGATTCTGTTTCCCTCTCTCTGCCTGCTTGCTCGCTCGCTGTCTCTCAAAAATGAATAAATGTTAAAAAAAATTTTAAGAAAAAAAGAAGAGTTGGACTATCAAAAGTCTGATGCTCAACCAGCTGAGCTACCCAGGAGCCCACAGTCTTTGTAATTTTTCATCAACGTACTATACCTATTCATTTTGTCTTCAGGCTGCTTTCATAGTATTGTGTAATAAACAAACAAACAAAAACTTAGCCTGTTTTTTAACTTTCTGGATTTTGGGTGGTTTTTTGTTTTGCTTTGTTTTTGTTTTTTTTGTTTGTTTGTTTTTTAGGATTGATTTTTACAAGGGTAATACAGTAGAGAATAAGTGTAACATACCTTTGGGAGAGTAAAGTGATAAGATTTGGGTGTTTTGTGATTGTTTTAATTATGCTGTTATTGTTTTCATTTGGTCAACCCAGTGGAAGACAAAATACGTGAAATTGTAGTTCACAGAGATGGAAATATATATTAAATAGTAGAATAATACCAAGTTGGGTAAGGATATGAAATGCTAATTTATGGAAAAGATTGTTAATATCTAAGAATGCAGAAGATGTATATTACTCCTTTTCCAGAAATTTCACTTCTAGGTATAAAAAGTGTGTTACAGACTCAGTTGACCATATCCTAACATCAGATACACAATAGTTCAAAAAAAATATTCACTTGGCTTACCTCATGTGACACTTTTTCATATTTTCTATCCTAAATCCTTTGTTTTTCACTAAATAAATGTATTTCATAATGTGCTGATAGGTAGTCATATACTGTTTGAAAACACTACCCTACGTAAACTTTCAGATGTGTGCACAAGAAGGCATATACAAGAATGTTTATGGCATTCATTGTTAATAAAAGCAAAAACTTGGAAACAGCCTAAATGTCTGCCAATGAGAAAATGTATAAATAATTTATAATAATTTCTCTATATGCAGAAAGGAGAACTGAACATCATTTTTGGAGAGGATACCTACAAGATACTATTTATGTAAAGCTTTAAAATCTGTAAAGCTATATATATGAACTTAAAGCATAAAGATACAGAAGGGAGCATTTATGGAAGGTTTAGTAGGTTCCGGGTGTGTTCATTCTCACAGTAACTCTGAGCCCTAAGCTAGGTACAGTTATTATAACTATTTTACAATTGAGAAAATCTAAGAGGGAAGTAACTTGCCTAAAGCTACATAGCTAGTAAATAGTGGAGTTAGGATTTGAACTTAGTATGTCATGCTCCAGAGTCTGTACCATTAGCCTATGCAATAGGATCTTTCCGTAAGAAAAAGGCATTAAAAATATGTAGGAAAACTAAAGATTGTAATTTAGTAGAATGGCTTTGAAAGAGAAAATATCAGGGCTCCTGGGTGCCTTAGTCGGTTGAGTGTCCGACTTTGGCTGAGGTCATGATCTTGCAGTTTGGGAATTCGAGCCCTGCATCAGGCTCTGTGCTAACAGCTCAGAGCCTGGAGCCTGCTTCAGATTCTGCGTCTCCTCCTCTCTCTGTCCCTCACATGCTCATGCTCTGTCTCTCAATAATAAATAAACGTTAAAAAATTTTTAAAAAGAAAGAAAATTTCTCACATTTTTATTCTTGAACAAGGGGACTTAGAAGGAATTGAGATTTATTAAAACAGAGAATCAAATACCAGAATTCTGTATTCTGAATTCTCTTTTGTCATAAAAGAGAAACTAAGAAAAGCTCCCGAATTAACAGTAAAATTCTAGCTGAATTATTGCCAGATTAGCAATTAATTAACAGACGATTGATTGTCTTTTTTAAATTGGAGAATTAAAATTACCTAAAATTTTAACTTACCTATATATGGTAAATCAGAAACCTCGAAGATTGAGCTACAAAAGAAAGTTAAGATTTATCTTATGATCTTTAATATGATTTTTTAAAGCTATAACTAATAACCTGTTAAAAGATAAAGTAAAAATATTAAAATTGTATTTGTTCGTGGTTCACAAATCTTACAGTATGAAAATCATCCCAGGAGTGTTATATTAAATGCTTAAAGTGAGATGAAAAGCCATCTGGGCACGGTGCCAGAAACCTGACTTGGTACACTTCACAGTGTAGTCACCAGGATTGTTCCCATTTTGACTGTGAATTATTAGGGCAGTTACTTCAAGGTTTTGGTTTTTATACTATTGTACATTTTCAAATAATATATGCTTCCATCATTTTCCCTTAAAGATACTAGTTTGTGTTTTGGTCATGTTTATTTTCTCTTAATTCAGTAGATGTGTGCTAGCTTAAAAGATTCATAATTATTTAGAGAAACAATTTTTGAGTTCCATATTATTCTGTGTTTAGATGATGGTATGCTGGTTTCCTCAGACTTAACATGTTTCTTGACTCCATAATAGTTGTGAGGCTTTCAGAAAGCTCCCAGGTTTCCTAGTCCAATGAAAGTAAAATAAAAATTAGATGATTTCCAGAAGCATATTTTTTTCAGTTTGGTACTGGTAATTTTTATTTTATAGAAGACATCTAAAAAACAGAATATACTAAAACTGGAGGATTTTTTAGAGTGCAGATATAAATACAGTATTAGGAAAAATGTTAATATTTACTTGCTGTAAATGAGTATGAAGTACATTCTAGCTTTGGATGTTAATCTGAGGTTTGTCTGGTTTTCTTCTCTAGTGATGCTATTGCTGAGATTAGAGCCATTTGTATTGAAGAAATTGGAGTATGGATGAAAATGTATAGTGATGCCTTCCTAAATGACAGTTACCTAAAATATGTTGGCTGGACTCTTCATGATAGGGTAAGTTACTGTTTCAGACTTTGATAGAAGATATGCTTGTCTCAATACTAGAATGCTAGGAATTATGATGGCATTAGTTGAGTTTTTGTTTTTAAGAGTTGTAATAATATGAAAATTTAAGATGATATACCTAAATAAATTGTTCATTTGATGGCCATGACAAAACTTGAGACATTGGCCTGTGTGGAAATTCTGTCTTAACTTACTGTAATACCATCTTAAACCAAGTTGACAACCTAGTACATCTAAGGTTTTAAGAGAATATACCATCCCAAGAAGCTAATTATCTTTTTCTAGCTTGGAATCAAAAGAGATTCCTTGTTTCTCTTAATATACAACAACAACAACAAAACCTTCTTGTTTTGAATTTGTTAAAGCCATATGACAGTAGAGTATTTTATAAGAGTTGAGTAGATTTGTTGGATTTTAGAATATTTGATCTAAAAATCCATTTTTATTTCTGTGCTCCTAGAAAAGGCGCTCATTTTGAAAGGAATCCCACATTATCAAATGCTGAATAAGTAATCCTCAAAATAACCAAGGGGAGGAGTGACAAATTATTGGAATTTTTATATTGAATGACCTGATATTCTATAACTTAAATTGCCAGATATTCACGAATAGAGAAACCTTACAATTTATCTTAAATTTTTAAATGCAATTATATTATTAGACTTTTAAGACAATTTTGGTAATACTCTAAGACTTATTTTTTATGTATTACCATTATCAGCCTGTAGGGCATTTACTTTTTAAATAAAAGCATGCTAAATATTACCAAAGATAATTTGAAAACCATAAAATTTCATATATTATAATAAAACAGCCCAGAGGATTTTACAGACCACTTTTGCTATAAGAAATAGTTCAGAGTATAGGGAGATCATCACCCGTTGGTTGTTCAACCCCACAATTACTAATGTTTAATTGATGATTATAAGGGGTTCTTATCCCCTACCTTATTTGAAGGAATATCCAGTTAGTACACAGTGAATTTTTTCCTGAATATTTATCTTTGCTGCAATTCAGAATCCTTTTCTCTACACTAATAAATCCCAAGCTTGATCCTATGTTTTCTTTCTTCTAATCCTCGTGTGGAATTCAGGACTTTCACAGCTAAGCCTCATCTCAGGTTTATCCAATTAAATTTTATGCATTTTGAGAGAAAGAATTATACAGTGTGTCCTCACAAGCATACACGCATGGCTAAATCCAACAAGACAAACTTTTTAGTAGGAATAAATTTAAAGTCTTGTATTTTTATTCCTCACCACTACCATACCAGTTTTCCTTCTTCTCCTCCCTCCTCCTATCTCCCTAATAGAGTATCCTACTAAATTTAAGTAACAGTAACATTGCCAGTTTTAACAGAATTTATGTAGGGCTGCAAATTCTGGGGAAGACATATTTGTTGGGACTTACCAAATACAAACCACCATTACTTTAAAATAAATCCCAAAACCATGTTTATAGAAGTTTTCTGTCCAGATAAAGGAAGAGGGAGGGAGGTTTTGTACATTGTTGATAAAAGGATATGAGAATACTATTTTCAGTAGAACATTTTTATAAACCTCTTTTACAATTACTTTATTTAGAAAAGAGTGTCAGTAGTAAGTAATCCCTTTTAAGCTTTCCTTTTTGTTACTCTAATATCACTGAAATGTTGCACTTTTTTCCATATGAGGACTGTAGTCATTTGCTTTCTCTCCTTGTTAAAAAAATTTGTTTTAATGTGTTTATTTGTTTTGAGAGAGCTCGTGTGCACAAGCAGGGGAGGGGCAGAGAGAGAGGAAGAGAGGGAAAACCCCAAGTAGGCTTCACACTGTCAGCACAGAGTCTGACACAGGGCTGTCACTCACGAACTGCAAGATCATGACCTGAACCGAAATCAAGAGTCCAACACTTAGCCAACTGAGTCACCTAGGCGCCCTTCTTTATCTCCTTTTAATCATCTGTTTGAAAGTGCTTATTCTATAGGCTGTGGCCTCTGCCTTCCAACCTGTCCTGTGCCTTTTCAAATGAGCTGATAAAATTCCTGTCTTCTTTTAAGATTACATTTTAATTATAAATTGCATTTTTTGTTTTATTGAGATATAATTGACATAACATTGTATTAGTTTAAGGTGTACAACATAAAGATTTGATATTCCTATGTCTTGATTTCAGAATATCAGTCCACATTCCTCAATAAGACAAACTTTTTTCTTAATATTGCAAGTTCATTTAAATTTTGTTGTATAAGTTTTGGTCAATAGAAAGACAAGCAGTCTCTAACTAAAGGAGTTATTTATTAGAGATTCAGTTCGTCTTTCTATTGACCAAAACTTATTTCTAATTTCTCTACTCGTTGGTTTTTTTAGTTCTTTCATTGATGGTGACACAAAATAGGTCTAATTTAAATTCATCGGTGGTAATCTCTGTGTTCTAGACTAAATAACCTAGTCTCTTTACATTTATGCTCATGACACTAGATTACCTTTCACTTTCCTTTACGGTTTGTCAGTATTGCTCTTTATTGTTTTTGCTTTTAGCGCTCTGTAAAATTCTTCTTTCTTGCCTATGCTTGATACCTCATATCAGAATCTCTATAGTGCCTGGGTGGAACCTATTTTCTGTTGTTCCACCCCATTTCTTCTTCTCTGTGTTGACTCATCCCATATCCTCTTTAAGTTCATCTAAAGCCTTTTTAGCTCTTTATATGTCAAGCAAAATGATACTTGACGCCTATCACCAGGGTAGAAGTTCAAACACTTATGCCCACTGTATCTTGAAACCAGGTTTGCCAAGGAAAAGACAACACAGTCAAGCACTGGATGGAGCAATGTTTTACTCACATAAGAGGGGACAGAACAATATCGACTTCACTAGTGGGCCTTGGTCCTCCATGGCCAGCAGGTTCCAACCAGCAAATCAGCATGGGGCAGTTGCCCTGCATGTACCTCTCTTATGCCACAAAACTAAGGACCCTGTCCTCTCCCCTGAAGAGATAGTTTTAGTAGTGAGTTTGGCCAGGTGCCTTGTGACTCACATGGTTAAGAAGACCATGGGGACCTACAATGAGTCTGAAATAGGAATGATATTTCCACAAAAGGCAGTTATCCCAGCACAGGTTGCAAAGACTCATCCCTTGATAAGGAAATGTTCCAGACCCACGGCCCATTCTTATGCAGCCAAGTAGGGGTCAAAAGAATGCATGCAGAAGACTACCTTTCCCAGCAGTCCACACCTCACCCCTGCTTGGTCATCAAAGTGGCAGATAAAGCAAATCATATCCTGTAGGACCATTGCCCGCTCCAAACCTGAAGACAGAATTAGGTCCGATAGGGTCCTTGAACAACCTATATGGATGTGGATTGCTCATACAGCTTCCCTGTCATTTGGAGATGGCACTTACCAGGGTGCTTAAGAGAGCCAGACCCAGGAGAATGATCAGGCTTCCCTGGAGGATGGTGCTCAACTAGAAACCCCAAGTGCCTAGATTAAGCCAACTAAAGAGGTTAAAAACTAAGTCTGAGGGCCTGTGAATATACAGCTAATAACCATCCCATCTGAATGTGGATATTCACCAGCTCAGTTTTTAACTTGAATTATTGACATATGTACACACATGCCACACTTTTCTACACCAGATGATCGAGGGCTGTCACCACATTGGCTAGTGAGTTCATTGAGTCTTGTTGATCTTGAATGGCTTACACAGTAGCATTAACTATTTCTGCCATGGTTAAGGACAGGTTGTATACCATTTTTTCTAGGGCTACATACCTATACCCAGTATTAGAATTTATATAATTGAATGAAACCGGTGGTTAATTTGTCTTCCCAGGAGGGAACTGTGCACCATTCTGTGGTGTGTCAGCAAAGCATGTCCTTTCCAGCCCTCTCTGCAGGTCCTGACATGGACAGTGAGGCAATAAAATCTTTCCCTTGGAGGCATACATTCTGTTGTCCATTGGAGTCCACAGAGAAATACGTAATACAAGAGTGTGGGTGACATCCACCAGGGATTTGTTCTCAAAATGCTGACTCATCTCAGCCTGCTTTTGCCATGTGGTTACCAAGAAAGAAAAGTTACATATTGGGTGTCCACATCCAGAATTTCAATAAAGATTAGTAATAACCATTCTAGTACAGGGGTCTTTTTTCTGTCACATCATAGATGATATTAAAGCAGGAGACTCCAGGGGCGCCTGGGTGGCTCAGTCTGTTAAGCGTCCGACTTCAGCCCAGGTCACTATCTTGCGGTCCGTGAGTTCGAGCCCCGCGTCTGGGCTGATGGCTCAGAGCCTGGAGCCTGCTTCCAATTCTGTTTGTCCCTCTCTCTCTGCCCCTCCCCCGTTCATGCTCTGTCTCTCTCTGTCTCAAAAATAAATAAACGTTAAAAAAAATTAAAAACAAAAATAAAAAAAATAAAGCAGGAGACTCCAGAGTATGCTTGCATCTGGACTGTATTGAAGGACTCACCCAGTGATTTGACCCATTGAGAACTAAGGAAGGTCTGAATAGTTGTAATTGGTCAGGACATTATAGTGGGAATGCAGGGCAAGAGGGACTTTATTCCAGAATGACAAATCCAGCATTGGTTAAGTTTCCCTTCTCTTACTGTGGCTGTACAGATTTTTATCAAGTTGTTGTTTTACCAGGCATTCTGTAGTAGAGGATTCTGTAGGAATGAGAAGAAAGAGTAATGTTCCTCCCTGTCTTCTACTCCATGAACCTCCTAAGGCCAAAGATGCTCTGGTCTACTACTTGTGGTGCTAATTACTTAGGTGTTGCAACCCAGGCTATCTGTCCCAATCCTGATGGTACTATCTTTTTGAGCACCCAGTGTCATTGTTGCTTGATCCATACTTTTTGGCCTTAATTGGCCAATCCAGAAAGGGAGGTCATGTGCTGCACATACTTGACATTCCAGTAACATCACCCACCTGATCTGAAGGACACTAGCACTGTGGTACTTCTTGGTTTTGTCTCCTACCCTTATGGTTTCCCGTAGAAGG